CCGATACGGTTAAGGATACGGTGGGGTTATTTTGCAAATATTAGAAAACTTTTGCGTCTTTTTTAAAATAAAAAGAATATTTGGGGTGAAGAAGGTAAATTGCGAAACCTGATATTGTAAAACACGTGTCGACACTAGGCTAGGTTTTAGTTTTAGGGGCTGCTTTTCTCTCTGCTCTGCTCAGATCCATTCCAACGAAGAGAAAGAAAAAGAAACACTGAAAAAGGAAGAAGGCGTCGACTCGACCCAACCAGTGGAATCGACATCTTCTTCTCTACTCGTCACAGAGGTATTTTGAGTCGGTTCTTCTTTTCTTCATAGTTGCTGCTGCTGACTGTATCTTCTGTTCTTCTTTTCTTATGGAGACTAGTATTTTGTTTTATGCATTGAATAATTATAACATGATGGATGAAATATCAATTTTGCTATTTATTATTTTTAATTTATATTATTTTAATCTTCGTATCAGGACGTACCCGTATCCCAGTTTTTGACGTATCGGCTTATCGTATTGCATCCGTACCGGTACCGGTGCAACATAGATAAACATACAAATTTATGTTTGTATACAGAAGAAACAACAAAGTCAAAATATTTTTCATAACGTTTTGAAGTTGTTCTCAAAAGCAAATCTGGTGCCAAACAAAAGAAGATGCAATGGGAGTCTCCCGTGGACCAAGGCTTTCTGGGATGCAGAAACAAGTCCTTAGTCTATACAGAGGGTTTCTGAGGGCAGCCCGTGCAAAATCTGCTGAAGATCGACAGCAGATTGAGTCACTTGTGTCAAGTGAGTTCCGCCGCAATGCCAAGGAGGTAGACCGCAAAAATTTCCTTTACATTGAGTACTTGCTTCGCCGCGCTAAGAAACAGCTTGATCAGCTCAGGAGCCCCGATATTGTTGGATTATCAGCCCTGAATGTCAGTTTCTCGCAGACAAAACATCCTACAAATTGAAGTAAGAATTTCATCTATTCTTATTTACTTGTGGAGCCAAATTTAGTTTGATCCATTGTTTAAACAGAATAACAGAGGAAAATAAATTTTTGGCTGAAATTTCCATGTTACTATAAAATCTCAATGTAAGCTATTCAGAAAGCTCTAAATTGTGCGATTCATTGATGGTCATGGTCTTCTAAGGCTATGTGTATTGATTATCTTCCAGATAATGATAATAATAGCTTATTGGTCTTTGTTGATAGTTCAAGTCCTGTTTTCTGTGTTGCTTATTGTTCGTTAGACGATGAAAAAAGACCAATGATTGATTTGAGACAAGTTGCGATAGAAGATTGTGGTTTGTTTGATGGGAATGGTAAGCAAATATTACTTTCGAAGACTGATCAGTAAAAGTATACATAGAAATATAATTCAAAGTTGCATTTAGTATTAACAAACTTGAAATAAAAAAAATATCCTGCGAATGTGCCTCCCCATTGTCCCCAACTTAATGGCTCACTAAAGCAAGACCCAAAAATCCCAGAAGAGCAAACAAGATGGTATGGCCATAAAACAGAACAGGAACTCAAATTCAACCTCGACAACCAGGAACTAAAACCTCAAGCAAAGAATGCTCATTGGACAAAACCATCTTTATTACAATTAAAGCAGTCCATTGTATCAAAAGAAAATGGTATTGAAGCAAACCAATGCTTTTCTTACTATGAGCTTATTATTTTCATGTGATATAAAAGAGGATTTGCTTATATTGCTCAATTTTCCATCTAGTATAACTGATATATCTGTGTTATAAAGCGAGACAAATAATATGCAAATGTGGGTTAAGTCAGTTGGCCAAGGCAATAAGCTGGACCCTTTGCACCAAAGTTCGAATCCCCCTCCCTGTAAATTAGATTAATTTAAAGACGATTATCGCTTGTATTAAAAGAAATAGAAACATATATATAGAAATTTCCCAGTTTTGATCTTTCTTTTGCATTTTATTTCTCAATTTTAATTTGTTAGTTTACTTATTTCACTCTTCCCCTAACTTGTGCTGTCTTCTAGACTACATTGACTAAGAAGGATGCTGCATTTTAGGTTCAGATTAATCAAAGTCTGACACCACATATACATGCTCTGTTTATTTAATCGGGTAGCAGAAATCTTCCTTTAATGGGGAGCAAACTTACATAAATAATTATATGACAGCACTCCTATTCAAAGGCTAATATATTTTAATAGAAGTTGGAAGGAGGGAGTGGACTTACATCACTTGCTTCTGAGTTCAGAGAACCTATGATATATTTAATCACCCACATGCCAGTCTGATATAGTAATGTAAGTGAGGGAGCATTTGCAATTTGGTGTGATTAAGAAAAGATTTCTAATTTCTTTCATTTATGGAGCACCAGAATCCCCTACAAAGTTGAAATGGTCACTGAAATTATTTTGGACTCTGCTATAGTTATGTCACTCTCTATTCTAATCTTGGAATGTTATCTATTGAATTCCATTTAATTATGTTTTCAACTCTATTCTTTGTCTTGATTTACCACACCAGAAATTCTCTTACAAAATTTTCTTAGAGAGATGGTAAGGGCAATTCCATTTCTGATCATATGATTTTATGATTAAGAAGATACAGTAGAAGAGCAAATATGGCCTCAGCTGCAACCGATCTCTTGATTGGCAAAGTTGTAGGCATTCTTGAGAGCGAAGCATCCTCCATAGTAGGTGTTCGTGATCAAGTTGATGAGATTAAGCAAGAGCTTATAAGCATGAAATCCTTCCTAAAGGATGCTGAGGGGAAGAAACCGCAGACAGAAGGAGAGGAGACATGGGTAGCTAGCGTGAGAGATTTGGCCTATGATGTTGAAGATATCATTGATAATTTCATGTACCACATATCATTGATAATATCATTGTAGATTTGCAAGCTTGCTCCACAAAACCATTCGCTTTCCAAACCATTGGAACAGATCGATTTGCAAGGTGGCTCCACAAAACCAGACAGAACCCAAAGTATCTTTTGTATAGGAGTCGATTTACAAGGTGGCTCCACAAAACGATTCACACTCCAAAGTATAGGGGTCGATTTGCAAGCTGCCTCCGCAAAGCCATTCACATTCCAAAGAAACTTTGGTATAGGCGTCAAATTGGCAAAAAGTTACAGAAAATCACAAAAACCATCAAAGACATTACAGAGAGGAATCAAAGATACGATATTGATCCCCTAGAAGGAACAAGTTCAGATGACATTCAAAAATGGGTGACAAACCAAGCAGAGTCTTCCCTTTTTTTTAAGGAAGATGAACTTGTGGGGATTGAAGACAAGAAGCAAATATTGATGGGATGGCTGATGAACGGAGAGCAACAACAAGTGGTTATCTCCGTGGTCGGGATGGGAGGATCAGGGAAGACAACTCTAGTTGTAAAAACCTTCACCAGTGAAAGTGTTGTTGACACCGTAACTGACCAAGCAACAAGAAGCAAAGCAAAGCAAGAGGAGTCCCACATCGGAAAACTGCAAGAAGTGGAGACTCCCCTTCACCTATAAAAGGAGACTTCTCTCCTCTTAGAAGGGGGATGAAAAACTGAGCTGGGGGC